CCAAGGGGGGGGGGGGGAACATTGATGTTAGAGCAATTATGAGAAACCCAAACCGAGGAACGGTAGATACTATACCATGGATATTTCCAGAGTGTTAGTCAAATTTAACACCTAGCTAACCAAAACAAGGTCATGATTATGTAATTTTCCCATAAATGCAAGTATGTTCACTGTTTTTTTGTTTTGTTTTTTCTTTAGCAAAACAAAGCTGAAGTGTTGATTAACCATATCTCTATTCCCATAAATGCTCAGTAAGCGCTGCACCAAACCTGATTTTTTTCGCCAAGCGCTGCTCTCGGATAAACACTATGAGAAACAGGGTTTTAAATACAATGTATACAGTGTTAAAATGAAAAATAACAATAGAGAAACAAGCATTTCTTTATAAACATTTACTTAAGATGACGTAGGACCTATGATAGGCCTACTGAACTACGGGAATATGTGAGGAAAGCAGGAATGGGCGTGGAAAGCACCACGCCAATAATTTTTTTATAAGCGCTGCACTGAAGCCTCTAAAAATGTTATAGGTGCTGCGGTGCTTATTCAAGCATTTACAGCATTTCCAAATAATCAAAACATATTTAATAATAATATTTTAACCCATTAAATATCTTTATAATGAACAACGTTCCCCTGATTATATTTTTTCGGGCTTTTGGTATGATATTATTTGTATATTTCAGGAACGGATTCCGTAAAATATTTATGTTAAAATTACTTCTGTGTTCATAATAATTTTGTCTAAAGATTGACTGGTTTACCTATAAAGCTAAGTCAGCGTAAAACTGAAAAATACTCAGATTTTGGATTCATTTTTCGAATAATTAACCCTTGTTAACCCTAAAATGACTTAGTTTATTATAATCCTTAATCATTTATTAATTAATATCTGTTAAAATTAGAATTGGCGAATTTTGGCCAATTTATGAAAATTGAAGTTAAAATATACTATACTTTTATAGGTCATGTAAAAGTTCCATTAAATTCGAAATATTTCTTGGTGGAAAATATTAATATGTTTGATATTTTATGAGAGATAAATGTATCAGCTTCAAAATAGAAAAGATTGCGCAGCCATAGTGATTGACAGTATGTAGTGCACATTGAGAAAAGAAGGTGCTCTCCATTTTGTCATGTTAAATTTTTTGGTCAACTATGCCTGCTGAAAATTTGATGGCTGGGAACACATGGGACTTCAAAGGCATCACGCAAACGTTCTTTACGCGCTGCGGCAACTTTGATCTTGGGTCATTTGCATAGCGCTGCGTGCGCGTAGTTTTGCCGAGTGATCTCCTTCTCAATAATACCTCCATAGTGGGAGGAGGTTATATAATGTTATTAATAAGTGTGCTTCCTTTGATTGATTTACCTTCTAAAATTATAAAGCCACTTTCAATAAGACCAACATATTAAAATCTATAACAAGTCTGATTTAAAACAAAAGTTTGGCAAATGAGCTTTACTGCGAATGTACACTACAAATACATGCATCTGCATAGCTGCTTTGGGGCAATTGTTTTTAATATATGATTATATTATATATTATCTTTTCTCCTCGCACCACTGAATATAATTAGGTGCTAGGATTTAACTTGCTCTGTAGTGTACTTCTTTACATGTACAACTATGGACATTTGCCAGTAAGCAAAAACTTCCAAGTAAAGGTTTGGCTGTTTAATTCGATGAAGATAAAAGAAGCCAACATTATTACATTGTTTGTATTATTAGTACTAACCACTAATGACAAAAGCAGAAGCTATAAATATCTGTTAGAAAATGTTTTTGAATTTGCCTAGCCTTTCCATCATTTCAGTTAGTATGGAATGATTTTTTAAATATGTTTAAAAAAAAAAAGAATTAAATTGTAGTCTCACTGCTATTGTGAATTTGAAAACATGGCAAACTTTGAATTGAATTTATATGTTACAGTATGTGCACCCAATTCTATCAGGATTTCTGAAATGCACCAAAACATAAAAAAAAGCAAAAATAATACAAAAATAATTTCCTTTACATATAGACCAACTGTATTCACACAAACTTTAGGTTATACAATATAGCTATGCTATATATGCTATGTTTGAAAAGGCTTAAATGAGGTCTATTGTGTAGTTAACCATAGGCCTAGAAGATCCATAATGTACTTCCATTAAGAAAGCTAAACAAGGACTGTATTCCATTATACAGAAATAACAAATAAATGCTATAATAAATTATGCTGGTTTAAACCAGCAGCATTCTGTTATTCTGCCTGTAGTGGCATCCTTCAACATTAACTGATGAACGAGAATCCACCCCACATTGCTCTGGATGGGATCACTGGAACATGGTTCAGCAGGAGTATCGCAGAATTAAAACAAGTTGACCTAGAACGTATGGTTTTGGGTAACTGGGCCTAGCATGACTAGATCTTGTATCACTGACTTAAGACCACTTGGCCCAGATCTATGGTTTTGGATTATTAGGCCTAAGATCACTGGGCGTAGAATGAATCAACCTTGGTATCACTTGACCTCATGTCGTCACTTGGCCTAGTATGGATAGGCCTATGGTAAGGTAGGCCTAGGATCACTTGGTTTATGATAAACATGCATGACGATAAGCAGATGGCACCAAGCAGCATACAAAAAAAATTTCTCCAAAAGATGCTTGCTAATTATGATATGCTAATTTTAATATACAGTAACTAATTGGTCATGATGGTTTCAAACTGACAAAACATTATGTTAGAATTATGAGAAAAGTGATCATAATTGATTACTCTCAATCTACAATGCTCAAGTCTTCAACAACGTTTATCAATTTCAGGTTGCATATCAAAGATTGGGGATGAATTGAAACAAACAACATACACGAAGCGAAAACATTGTATTTCCTGTCAACACACACTGCCCTTTGAATTTTCTTGCGATTTTAGTATCCTTAATGGTGTTGAGTATGAGCTTGAACAATTGATGCAAGCCACAAACAAATCAGTTCAAAAATAGCTTGTGGAAATATCAATTCCTAATTAAGTCCAACATTGGAAAAGTTGAGTTCTATCGCCCGACGTAAGTGTAAGTTCCAGCAACTGGAAGTGGGGCGCCCTCTTGTAGTGGTGCATCCAGAAAGTCCCAAATTAGAATAGTATCGTCGTGAGAACTGCTTACTATCTGGAACTCATCGAACTGAAGACGAAAAACTCTACCTGTGTGCTCCTGAAAAAATACAACCAAAATCATTTGATTTTAACTTTCTACAAAAATTATAAATAAATATCTACATTTTTTTTGTACAGTATATTCATTAGAAGCCTACTGTTCTCCAACATGTTATGCTTTATAAACTATGTCTTATATTAAGGTTTAGGGAGTATACTTGTTTTTAGTCATAAAATTCCAAATTGTGAACCTGCATGGATATGAATCTTAGGGTTCTTCTAAAGCCAAATTTGCCGTCATTAATTATTGGAATAAAAACCCACTTAACTGGAATTGAAATACAAAAATCCTCAAATTTTAAAATACAGACATTCAAAATTGATCAACATGCAAAACAGCAATAATGTGCCAATTAATTCCGGAGCACAAGATAAAATATTGGCATGGTTCATACAGGTTTTGTGAAGTTCCAGGACCTTACATCGTCATGGAAAATAAAATTGGTTATGGAAAATTTAATGTATTTAACAATCCCATTTCTACACTGTTTACATTCACCAATAAAATTTTATTTTTATTTCCTCCTCTGGATGATTTTTCAAAAACTATTTGCTAATTAAGAAAGCAAAATTTAATTTTTATTTTTTTCCTGCTTTCCTCTGATGATCTTTAAAAAATAGACCTTTCCGCTAAGCTCCGCCCCTTGGATTTTGTTGCTAAGGTACCACAAGACGGCAGTGTTAAAACATACGCGAACACGTGCGTTTGTAAGACGCGCGCGTATTTCTAGCGTTGTTCTGATTAGTCAGTTGTTAAGTTTGATTGACACTCCGGAAAGGTCTATTGTGGAACAAGTAATAAAGTCGTGCCTAATCAATAGAGAACCAGGAAGCAGTTCAGACTAATATGTTCATTTATTGAGACGCAAGGATTTCTTATGGTGAATGCGTTGTTTGCATGAATGCTTGCAATTAAATAAATGTAAATACTGTCTTTGAAGTGCTACGTCACGATATAACATGATACCACTTTGCTACTGAGCAACAAGCTACCAAGTGGTCATTACAGTTAAGTGAGTTACGGTTGAGTGCTTCCACTGTCAACACAGTTTCAATGGATTATTTAATTGATGTATCGGAACATAAAAACTCTTGATATATTGTCCAATGTGTAAAGATCTGTCAACACTATTATGGCCATATATAGTCATGATGTGCCTATATATGGTCACGATGTGCCTATATATAGTCATGATATGATGTCATCATGACCATATTTAGGCATGTCACATGATTTTGCCAAATAAAATTTGATAGTTTGGACAGGGCCTAAGTTTACAAGCATAAATACAGATACAATGTTGAAAAATTGTGGCTCAGCTGTATAAGGCACTTTAAAGTTGTATCAACCACATGGGGACGTTTGATCTGTAACAAAGAGGTGCTACATGGTGTTGTGATATTACCAACATAGTATCTACTACCACTCAAGAAGCATCATTTTCATGAAATAATAGATTTGAACTTTGGAGAAAAGAGCAGCATTGCAGGAGTTCTGGAAAAAAATTATTACCGGGGGGAACCAACAAAGGTAAACTCCCATTTGAAAAATATTATTCAGCCAGTGATGAAAAAAATTAACCAAAGAATATATTATACAAAATGAAATATTATCATTTTAGTTTACTATTATATTAGTAACCATAGTTACAAGACTTACCACCAAAGTCCTGAGACATAAGGTACCAGTTGGAGCTCTTGGGTCCAGTGCAGCCTGCAAGTCCCATACCTTAATTTTTCTAAAATTTGAATCAAATATTTACATAAAAAATACAATTCTGATTTCTGTCAAAACACGATAATACCATCTGCTCTCATTTACAAATACATATTTCATTAAAGTGAATTTTTTTGGAAATTTGTAATTGTTTCAATTAAAAATCTATTTAATTTCCATTATTTTGGAATTAATATTAATGCTATGTACTTTTTTCTTAAACACTAATAAAGTACAATATATACATACATAACCTCACTCAATCACAATTCCATACTTTTCATTACTCGTAATGTTTTAAATTCTTTATATTTACTAAGGTCTCCAATTGACAAGCTCTACAGAGTTTTCATGTTGATTATTTTTTATCAATATCATAATCTTATCATTTTTTTTCATTTTATGTTGATGATATCAACATATCTTATGTTAAAGAAATATTGAACTGAAAAAAAAATATTGAACTGAAAAAAAAAAATTGTTTCACTAACCCATCATATGCACCACTAACAATTCTTTTATTATCAAAGCGAATACAGCGAACAAGTTCTTCATGGCCCTCAAGTACTCGGAGGCAGGCACCACATTCAATATCCCACAGCCTAGAATTACAACAGTAAGCACCGTGGTAAAAACAACATGGACACAATGCAGAGTAGTATTAGATCAACATTCAACAAACCATACAGTGGGTGGGTGGCAATGCGTGCCACCCACCGACTGCCGACCAGTCTTAAAATCATGTTATTTTTACCATGAGCATCTTGGGACATTGTTGAAATCCACTAGTTACAAATCTGTTTTGGAAAATGAGGAGACCTTACACATCTCAGCCCCTTTTTGGGGCTGAGATGATTGTTAATTGTCATCCATATATTATTCCCGGGAATTGCACATTCATATTTTAAAAGCAGTTTCAAATGTCTTAATTTAAGAAACTTAGTTGAATCTTAAATACATAAAAATTTTTTTCCAGTATTTCATATGAAAAATACAGCTAGTCTCTCAAAATGTCATCTTTCTCAGTCAAAAGTTCCTTAATTTGTGTGGCACTCTTCAATGAGTTGACTATAAGATCAAATAGATCATTGTCACGCCATGATTTCTGGGCCTCCACATTTTAGAAAGTGTACCCTAGTTTGTGGAATTGCATAAAAAAATATAACCTGGACTTACATAAATATGGATTAGATTTCAAATGTAACTAAGATTTAAAAGAATACCAATAATGAAAAACACCATGCATCATTGAACAGATGAATTTGCAACAGCCTTTACCTTATCGTGTTGTCCGAGGAGCCGCTGACGACCAGTCGGTCTCGGTATTGTAAGCACGCTATGCCTCGACGATGACCATTCAAGGTGCGAACAAACTCACATGTTGATGTGCTCCATACCTTTCAAAAATCAAACAACACACAACAGGAATTAATATTTGTTTATTCATACTTTTAACATCCATTATTTTCATCATTTTTACAAAACATACTCTTTTTTTTCACAACCTTCATTGAATGAGTATCAATAAAGTGATGATTTCTGAAATGAGATATTTCATCTTTTTCAAAAAAGAATACACATGCCTACACCATCAACCCCTCCTACCCCCCACATTCCACACAATCTCCCAAAGTGTATGTTTTATACGCTTCCTAATGAAAATTACAAATGGTCTCTCCATAAACAGACATCAAATTATATATAATATATTCATGATGGCCTATACTGGTCATGATGTAATGTCATCATGACCATATTTGGGCGCATCACATGTTTTTGTCCAACAAAATTTGATAGTCTGGACAGAGCTTTATTCACACGACCATTGCTCATTGGATGATAATATAAAAAATAATGATAATAAATTATATTATATAATTTGTATAGAAATATATTTAAATACAGTAGAACCACTTTAATTACGTATGGCACGGGCCCAGAGCCGTTCGTAATTGTGGGTATTCGTAAAATCGGGGTTGACCCGAATTCCCAAATATATGCACTGGTACTACTTACACTGGCATAAACTAGGCTAGGCCCACATGCCTATGAAGCTAAGTCTGAGGGGGCCTAGGCTAAAACAGTAGGCAGTTTCTAAGCATTCTGATCCCACTCTAGGCCCTACACAAATTTGTTGTTAATCGGACGTTTTTATCTTCTTAAATACCTAGATTGTGGATTTTACTCCAACACAACTTCCATAGATACTTGTTTATTATATATATTGATCATATAATAAAACAATCAAGCACTATGTTGTCTTTTAAAGCTAACAAAGATGACTAAAAGAGAAGTAAAATTTGTCAAATCCACATGTATGAAGCCATAACAAACACTGAATTTGAAGAGGCCCGTTCCGTTAGAGGGCGTCTTTCACTTGAGAGTTACATAGTACTGTATAGTATGGTATGTTGTGTTGTATGCATGCTAATAACAGTTACAATTTGAGCAGATTTTTTTTTTTTTTTTTTTTGGATTTTTCGCTTCACTTTTTATGTCATCACCTTGATTTTACGTTTGTAAAATCGGGAATTTGTTAAATCGGGGTTCGCAATTGAGGGTTTCTACTGTACTGACCATGTTGAGCAAATAACAAATATAATTTAGTAATTAAATTCCATGGCTGGGATTGAGGCAAGAAAAATTATGATTATTGCCCTTCTTGATGACCAGAAATGGCAATCTCAGTCATAAATCAGAATATAATTTTCTTTTTTTTTCTCCATTTTTTTTTTTATAATTTAGAAAAATGTAGAGGTACACCCATGCCGACTGGGCCTTCCACCCCTTGAATCCGCCACTGAATGTACTTCTAGAAACTAGAAACACTTTACACAAATTTACTTCTTACTGTCAAGTGTATTTATTGATTGCCAGGCCTGCAGATATGGATCAAACAAGAATCTTAAATGTAGGCCCCTGGATGCGACTCACATTAACTGAAAAAACATGTTCCATGAATAATGCTACTTTTCTTAGACTACAGCGTTAAAACACTTTTCAAAAACATTTTCTCTATTTCTTTTTGTTAACGTCATATCCTCTGGAGATAAAGTGTCGAGCTTCTATCAGTGTATTTCTGCAGTTGAATCTCATTTTATATGTCTTATTACTCACATTTCTCTCATTTTATGATTCATAAAATATTTTGAATATGCATTAATTCACATTTGATGGAAATATTTTAAAAGAATTCTGCTTCTTTATCAGGCTTATACAATAGGGGTCTCATTAAATTTGCCTAAATCAAAGTTCCAAGTTTTATTCACTTGAAAAATAAATTATTGTTTCTTTGGTTAAGTTATTTCGCTTAGAATAAACACATTCAGAAATTATAAACTTTGAGCACATTTTCTTTAATATTAAAGCTAATTAAATTTATAATGGTATCTAATGTTGTTATTATAATCTCACTATTAAATTATTATTATTATACATACTTTATTACTGCATAATATTCAAAAATTTATATAAATTTTAGGAGTGTTTTCGAAAAAAAAACAACAATGAGTTAAGTTATTTCGCTTAGAATAAACACATTCAGAAATTATAAACTTTGAGCACATTTTCTTTAATATTAAAGCTAATTAAATTTATAATGGTATCTAATGTTGTTATTATAATCTCACTATTAAATTATTATTATTATACATACTTTATTACTGCATAATATTCAAAAATTTATATAAATTTTAGGAGTGTTTTCGAAAAAAAAAAAACAATGAGTGGAATCGAATACTAGAAAAAGGTCTACTTAGCAAGCTAGAAATTTCAGTTGCACTGAGCTAGTGAAATAATACCATCAAGATTATCGGACAATCAATTAGATAAATAGATGCCAAAGATGATTATTTCATGCGTAATATCTACGACACGGAATACAGATTGTACAGCACACTTACCTTAATGGTTCTATCGCCTGATGCAGACACTATGTACTTGTCGTCAAAATCAACAACGTTGACAGCCGCACGGTGGCCGACTAACACCCGCCGGAGGCTGATGTCCGTCGGCGAAGACATGTCCCACACAGCAATAGACCGATCCTGCAGTTCAAAAAGAAAATGGGGTTTTTTTTTTCAATCACATTACTCAAGATTCAAGACCCTTTATTTGTGTCCATTCAGAAAATCAGTTGGTACATCACATCGCAAAACAAAGTGCAGATTAATAGAAAACAAAAACAATATAATTGTAATTAGGCCCTAAAACATACTTGATATTTGATTAAGAATTATAATGGATAGTGTTACAAATGAGTTGAGATATCTATTTCTTTTACAGGTTTGTGATTTTAACCTTTTACCTGATAGTAGCCAAGTAAAAGATGCATTAGTGGGTGGGAACTATCTGTTAAGATACTCATTATTATGTCAAATTAAACAAAATATAAAATTATAATTGCTAATGTATTTAATAAAAAATATGGTTCTGTACAAGATTTTCAATCAGACGTTTTCAGTAGTTTCAAAAGTAAAAGCCACCTATTATCATTTGAGTATATTTCATGTACAATACTCCAAATCATAGAGTATGTTACATAATAGAATACTTATTTTGTATTTTTTATATTTGTTTATACAGGTATTTTAATGGATAAAATAATAAATAAAATATATAATACTATAGGGGGAGGAGTTGTGATAGACTTGTTAGTCTTTTGCAAAATGTTCCAACGTAAATGAATGTAGCTTGGTTGATTAAAGATGTTTGCCAATACTTAGGTCCAGGGACCGGATATATCAGATTTGCTTAGCAAAACAATCTGCTCAAATTTATCTGAAATCAAACTGATTTATCGTTCATACTTTCAATAACAAAAATATTTGCACAAATTTGTCTTGATTTTAAGATGAGAAAGTACTTTATTTAGAATGACGTCATAATATGAGTGAAAGCTTGACTTTGCAATTTTAAAAAAAATTTTAAAAATGGTATTTGAATATAATTTCATTTTTTTTTTAATTTTTAAAGGGGGCACCAGGCCAGCTTCCCCACCTCTTAACTCTGCCACTGATATCAGTGAGTTCATAAGTGATAGTAATATTTTTTTATTATATTTCTGATACAGTTATATCAATAATATTCTACATTGTTATTTCATTATTGTAATTTAGAACATTTATTTAAGCAACATCCTTCAGATAACATTGAATATTGCAATGAAAAAAATTAATACAGTATATTTGATAAATTAGAAATGTTCAAGGTTGGACACTGTCATAGTGATAAATCATTAGATCATGTGACTAGAGGTCAGGTCATTGCCACATCTTAATGAGCATGCTCAGATCATAGAATTGCAGCTCACAGTCAGAATATTGTTTAAGTTAATATCTGAAAATGTAACAATATTATTGGCGACTACTGTATTCAGGTTGTGGCGATAATTCATAACAATTTAACGTCATAATACGAGTGAAAGCTTGACTTTGCAATTTAAAAAAAATATTTTAAAAATGGCGACCCGATTTTTTGGAAAAGGGGGAGCCCAACATTTTTTTTCTGGCCTAAGTTTAAGACAAATATTTTGCTTCGATTGATAAATTTTTGAACTACCATAAAACACTTTCACAAGTGAACCTAATTTGATAAAACTAAACTATAGTATCTCCTTCCTTTGCATTGAAAATCATCAAATACATTTATATAGTAGAATGAATCAGCCTCCCCTGATCCCCACACACACATGCTCTTTTCCTAGACCCCTCAAGCTAACTAGGCACCCCTGGGCCTCTGACCAACAAAGGCACCCCCCCCCCCCCCCCCGGGCCTCTGATCCACCAAGCTATCTAGGCATCCCTTGGGCCACAGACCCACCTTAGGCACTCGGTGGGACTCTAGACACACCAAGCTGCCTAGTCACTCTCAGGGCATCTGGCTTTCATAGGAAACACCCTTTAGGAATCCTAGTATAAACAGGATGCATTAGTCTCCTAGTGCAACCTCTTTTATAGATCATTATTCTACAAGGCGAATACAGCTACTCATATTAATCATAATACTGTCTCCTAACGCATCTTGATTCACTCGTTAATAGATAATATGCATAATTAAGATTAGTTGCTATAGTGGTTGAGATATCCACAAGCGCTCTCATTTCACGTGTGTAATGTGCACATTTAATTTCACGCATTATGATTCCCATTAGGTTTTGGGCTGGATCACCAGAAATATCTGTGTGTGGTATCTATGAGTGCTAATATATAATCTGTTATTGCGGTATGAGATGACTGTGTCATAGTGGCTTCTCTAAGATCTGTGGATGTTTATTGGTTGGCTCAAATTTAGATATTCATCCTTTAGTGTATATTAAAATTAAGCTGCAAATAGTTTTTACAGTGTGCTTTAACAATATATCATTCTGTGTTGCTATCATTGAGACTACCGCACTAACTTTTAATTTATTAGTCGGTGCACAAAAAAAATTAAAAGTAAATGAGCAATTTTTTTTTTGCTCATGAGAAAAAAAAATGATCATGACGATAATGATAGTACTAACTTTAAGTTAAAATTATGGGTTGCTTTTAAAAATGAATAAATGACCTTTAAAGTACTGATCCAATATCAC